AACAAAGGAAAAAAATTGTTTTGTTGTTAAAAAATAGCTGTATGCAAGTATAAAACATTTTCAATAGTCAATATTTTCCTTAAGTGAGGGCAAAAAGGCAGTGATATATGGAGTAATTGCCATTTTTCGGCTAAGCACAATCGGGATGCTTACAGAGAAAGCATTTTATACTGTGATTCTCAAAAAAAGTATTACGGTAACTAACATTGACTTTATACGAAATAAGACTGCATTATAGACCCATTGCAATAGGTATTCTTTATTCGAAAGCCCCACAGTTAAATACCGGCAAACATACTTTAATGTTCAATTTTTCACAAATACTTAGAATAAATTTCTGTTTAATATAAATGTTTAGGCCACTCACTATGATGATGTAAAACCTAATAGCTTAACTTCTTTGTTTTCATGAACCTATGTTAAATTCGTGTTACACGCCTAATCGCTCTGAATAAGTGGACTTTCACTATCATGATCAGTTTATTCAGATGTTAGTGTGGTTATGATTTGTTAGAAACGTTTCGTTTGAGGGAGCTAACGTCGCCAAATAACTCAATAAACCCTCAGTATTGATCTCAAGAAGTACAAGCAAAGTGCATTGTTAGAAAACAATCCAATCAAAGCAGTTCGTAGTTTTAATACGTTGATATTCAAATTCGCTCTGGTAATTCTCAAAATTACATTTGTCATGTCAAAATGTTTAATTACGTTTAAATGAGAAACAATAGTTAAGCGTCGCAACTGGTTTATACATACTTTTCATGACCTAGATCCAAAATGGGAGTATTTGTGAAAACATGGTCTACTTGGTTATCAGTACTATTCTAATAATAGACGTAATTATAAAATTGTACGTGTGTCATGACGTGACTGCTTAATCTATAAGATCTTGAGCGGAAGTCATACCATTGTCTATTCTGACTCACTGAATCCTAACGACTGATAATGTAATACTTCTGAGGAACATGTTTGGAGTGAAGAAAGATATATTTAATGTGAATAAAAACAAGTTATACATAATGACCACGTCTGTGAAGCTAAGCCATGCCATCCGATTGATTGAATGTTCCGACGTTCACTATTCTTGACCTTACTTTGATGTTTCACGTTGAAAGTGAATCTTCCAAGTAATTATATGTTCAACTTCAAAAATCGTGTCGTTAGGGACCAATGCGACTATATATTATCGGTTGTATATAAACGCAACAGGGACACAATTAAACGTGAATTCCGATGACAGATATAATAACAGTGTAACGAATCACAACCTACGGAATCATATGCATTAAACCCTGAGACTTGCGGAACATTCATTGATTAAGGTCGCTAAAAGGTAGGCATGACTAAACGCACAGTGTTCTCAATCCAGATGACCTAGACGTTAAAATCCACACTCACCGAAAAATGTTAAGCACTTATAAGTTCTCTTGAAACTCGTAGTTTCGTGCCATAAAAGGGTTTGACTGCAGCGCATCCAGTTTGTGCTTGTACAACATCACGAATTTCCAGTGAAACAACTGGAAAAGCGTCAGTCCGTTGTGATACATTTGCAACTGGGGGCAGGGCTTTTAACTATCAGTGAGGTATTTCCACGAGGCCATGGGCTCTTAAGTGATAGGCGGTGACTCAGAATCGAGTGACTACACGATGTTTAGTACTAATGAAAGAGTCCGAATTTCAACTGATGTTCGTGGTCCGTTGAAACGGTCAAAAAGGAAATCGGAATTCGCGACACACATTTTGACGAGAATGTGAGCCACTACTTTAGCAAATATTTCCTTCATAAATGCACTGCTTTTGGCCATCGTTTTTAGTTATCTACACATAAAGAGATAAAAGTCTAATCAGATGAAGATGGAAATTGATGTAAAATGCATCAAAGGCTATGAAAGAACCGAAAAGACATATTTATCCAGTCACTTTAGTTTTTTGTGGCTAACATAGAAGAGTGCCCACTCTATCACTTCTTTATTAATACCATGACATCTAAATCATTTTATGATGAGGTTGATGATAGTTTGAACGTCCAGACAAAATGTCATGACGACAATACTTTTTCATGACTAAACGACCTCTACCAGCAGATGTATCACGTAGCAAAGTTTCATTACTTGTGTTTATTTGTTCAAATAGCAGTTTCAAAATTGTCAATGACAACTTGTACAGAAGATCAGTGTTTTTTCTGACCCCGATCGAATTTAAACAGGCCAACTTCTCGCAAACTGTTCAGGGAATTTTTATGGGGCAGGTAGTCCGCAACCAGGATGTTTGTCCCAGAAAGATCAATATTTCAGTTAGGATTTTCTGTATGTTGGTAGTGTTTAAGGTTCTCAGACTTCCCACTATTTGTCCAGTAATATTGTATATAAGGCAAACAATTTTATGAAGATTTTAAGGCTTTCGAAGAAAATAACTATTGAGTTATTCTGGGGGAGATATTTTTCGAGTCAACCAAATACGAAGGTAGTTTAATAAAGCACTGCATTCTATTATGTCACTGATTATCAAGGAATAGCATCAAAATAATTAAACGATCAAACTCTTCTTATCACTGAAAAAAATAACAGAATGGACAGCTGTAATATTTAAAACCTTCTTGATTGTAAAAACCTTGGAATTGAACCGCTCGATGTACTGTGTGTGTCACTAGTTTAATCACAATTTCAAGAGAGATATTTTGACAAAGCAACTAATCATTATAGATTTTTATGGTGTATTTAATGAGAGGACAAACGATATGTAAACATTCATTCACCGAAAACTGACTATTATATGGTCTTCCATAAAAGTTTGCTTCGACAAACCCATTGTTTAGAGGAAAATGCATTAACGCATGCACACAATGCGCTTACTCTAATTATCGCTATGAATCGTAAGGCAAACGCGACTAAACAAATCGACACCATATATACGGAGGCCTAAAATTATAAATAAACATCCAGATTTAAGCTAAAAGTATCAAGAAAGCCTTTATTGAAAGTCATAAGAATACTAGGTTTATTAAACATTGAGGACTGTATTTTAGGTTTTTAATGTCGAAATACTAAGAAAAGGTTGAATTTAAAGTATTAAAAGTTTATTGTAGGGACGGGCGATCCGGTAAGCCAGGGATGTTTGCGCACAGGTTACATATTGTCGCGGATTTTTGTCTATTTATCAGCTGTTGTCAGCCCTTTTTTCGTCACACGTCAAAAAGCTTTAAAACATTTTACATTTGATTCACCTCCTTGATTATGGTGATGGTGAATATGGATGTTGGTAGTTGTTTATAAAATGTAGGTTGAGGCAATTAGGCGTGAAACTATTTATCAATATTATATTGCTTCCTAATATACAGCCAAAAAGTTATATCCACTATAAGTATCATTTTTTTATACTGAAGTGATGTATTATTATTGTGTTGTCTGTAAAGTCTTCGACGTCATAGAATCCTTATATACTTATCACTCCGTCTCGGTGATGAACTTGTTGTGCTATTTTGTAAGTTCTGCGTATTATCTAACTTCCACCTACTGCAATGCCTAAGAATGTGATGAGCTATACAGCTTATGTTTCGTATTTGATTAAGCTTACCTGTAATAGTTCGTTATTTAACATAAGCCAGTAATATATGGCGACAAGGATATCGGCGCGTTTGCACGCATTTCATTTTGCATCCAAGCAAATATGACAGGACTTCCTCGACCACAATTATCCGTCACTACCAACAAAAATAACGAATATCTACAAAGCGCAATATAACAAAGATCATCATCACTTTTTATTGTTGGTATTGTAAGTAGAATCTATACAAACAACTTCTGGATATTTGTTGTAAAACTGTATCAGCTCATGAATACTGAAGCAGATTCTCGTAACATATCCGTTTTCATAATGCTCTCTCACTTCAACATTCTGTTGCAACACATCTGCCGCTTGCATTCGCGTCATAGAACCTGAAATGCACTTTTTAACACTTAACTATGGAGAGTTTAGCTTTCATAGTCTTCACATCGGCAGCATTGACCTGCTTACCAGTCCTGTCCGTGATAATTTCTATTAATTCATCTATTGATTGAGACTGAAATATGACAGGCTTCCAACTTTCCTTTTCTTCGGACGATAATCTTCTGGTCCATAGGTCACAAACCATCCATGAACTACAACAAGGATGGTTATGCAGCATCTGGTATGAATTTATTACATATCCTCACGCTTCCAATCTTACGCGGGACCTCGATTGGCAGTTAAGATGCTTAGGCCTTAAACGTTACATATTAGTTAAAATTCTCACGGTTTTTTATTCGCTGTCAGACCTTCTGATTTACGTTTATTACAGAATGTGCAGTGAAAGGTCACAAAAAGTTATTTGAACCTGACATCCATGAGCAATTTGCTTTCTGTGTTGATATAATGAATATGGATAGTCTGAGAAATGATAAATTTATCCTTCCATAGTTTTTGGAACTCTTTTAGCGCGCTATCAAAGTCATCTCAGCTTGCAAAACGCTTGTTCAGTATGATGCGTCGAAAAGCATCGCTTAAGTCGACTGAAATGTCACTTGACGATGAAGGACTACAAACATCAGTCATTAATTATGAAAAAATACTCCTTGAAACAATAGTAACTGAAGAAAGTACTATAAATATTTAAGTTACCGGTGACTTGATATTTGGTTGAGGTTTACTACAACACTTGCGATCATAGATCAAGTTATGAAGCAACAACAGAGTCAACTTGTACACTGCGAAACAGAGCATGCTAAATTAGTGCTTTTGGCAGTTATTTTGTGCTTTTAACGCAGGTAAAGATGACTTGAATATGAAAAAACCTAATACTCATTCAACCAACGGCAATCGAAATACGGGATGACTGCCCCTAATCAGGCCGTTCAAGGTCGTTGGAACAAAAGGGCGGACAGATTCGAAGGAGCCTTGCCTTTTCACCGTGCCTGTATTGTATGTTCACTTTTACTTACTATCCCGACGTGCTAGTGTGACCTCACTCTATTTTTAGCACAATGGAGGATAGTATGAGCCGTTTGCTTATGCAATCAACTTTAATGGGGACTATAGTTACAACAATTAGTAATCATTTGTCGAAACTACAATCTAATTCATGTTTGCTTGAAAAGTTGCTATGTTTCCTGTTCAAAAATAAGTAAATCGTTTTTCTAATCGTAATTACTTTTCTATTCAAGTAATTCGGATAGTGCTCAAAATGTATCGGTCACGGAATTATTAAACCAAGTATGTTTTTTTATTTTTACTGTGTACTGACAGTTATATGTGATCAGAAGTTCGCTTTTGATTCAGTTCAAAGTATTGGTGAATTGTATGTCTCACAAAAAACCAGTGACCTAGCAAAATGGCTAGAGTTAACTGTCATCCGTAGTCTTGAACAGCTTGAGTCCACAAAACGTGAGTCGGTGTGTTACAAGAGGTATGAGCTTAAATACAATACTTTTTTCACTGGGGTTTTTATATTATAGGACTAGCACTACTCTTCCACTTGTAAGTTCAATTTTTATCATAACTTCCTGGAGGATAAGCAACTGTCTCATATAAGAAGTTTTCTTGAAATCAGCAGGAAAAGAAAACATCTGTTTAATCTTTCTTCTGAGCTTCAAAACTTAAAAGCAAGTGATTACCTTTAGCTCTTACGAACTTTTTTGATTCTAATCGTTTTTCCCATTTTCCGAATCTGTCGTTGAGCACATATTATTCTGGTAGTTACTTTGTTGTTGTCCGAACTTCCGGTCAATACATATTTTCTGACTACTCTGAAGCTTCAGTGTAAAATTTTACTGACAACCATAAAGTCCATATATCATTAAACATGCTTTGTGATTTATTGTCCAGAGCACGATTTGAAACAACATGAATATAGGATCTCTGAATATTGTAAGTTGGCATATATTCACCATATTTTCTTCAATTTCCACAAACGTATATATAACTATTGATTTAAGAGATGTTTGAATACATGTGTTCTACCATATTAGATTAAGTGGATCGCATCACGTCACTTGTTTCTAAGGTTAAAGACTAAAAAATGGTGACAAAGCTGCTCATGTTTTCTTGCTTTAGTTAGTAGATCGTGAGCTGTTTAAATGCTTATTTGATCGCTAGATAAGGGTGGATTATATCCTATCGTGCTTATGATAACACAAGTGAATTATCTGTCTGGCATTAAATTACATTATAAAGAATGGTCTTGTTATCATTGTGATAAGTAGAGAATCAAATCTTATAACCGCTATCATCACGGTTTTAACTGTCCGTTTTTATCTTTTATCTTACCAGCGCATTCAACTACAGAAATGTAATGTGTCAAGAGATTTTTTAAATGCTGAACTTCAATTATTAACGCTACAGACAAAGGTCCATTACATGAAGCACCGTATCGGGAAGTTAAAGTTGGACGTAGAATGTAGCAAAACATACCTTTTTGAATATGAATCATTAGGCACAGAAATTGTGAATATTGAAAATCTTTTGGTGAGTAGAGTTTAGACATATTTACAACCAACTGCTAATTTTTGTACTTTTCAGAGTAAATCGACTTTCATTAAATTAGATAAATTTTCTTAAGAATTGCAATAGAGCTGTGAACTACTAAAACTTTGTCTGGTGTTAAAATATATTTGGTTAAACTTGCGAAGAATTAGAGAGGTGGACTATTCTTTATCTTCACTCACGTGGTAGATTGCGATTCAAATGTTCAGAAGTGTCTTCTACTATCGACTGGATAATATTAAGAGAGTACGCAGAACAGATATTAGGGTGCAAGCTACTGATGCCAGACACAAGTTGTTTGGGTAGCTAATATTAACCAGTTGGTCATAGGTCAAATAATAGAAACTGTCTTAGTGTTCATATTTTTTAACCAATTTAAATTTCATTACGGTCATCACACGTGTTACCTTAACCTAAACCGATATTACCAACATCAGTTTTGTGATTACATTACATCCTTACGTTTAATAAAAAAGATACACCGCTTACATTAAGAAATCTTTAACACTAATAGGTAGCTATCAATTTTCTGGAGTAAATGCGAGGCCTTCTATACCTTTAGTTATTCAAGTTTATTGGGGTGCTAATTTATCCATGATCAGGACATATAAATTTTTTTTCCTATTCTGTCAAGTCGCTTTTCTGTCTTTTCATTTTGCTCAACATCGTTGTTTCCTGTCAGTTTATCCCCTTATGCACATGTACACCTAAAAAAGGATATTTTAACTCTAGAAAGCTGAAGATTATTTTCGAAGACAAATGCATTACTCAAAAGTTTGCTCTGTATCGCTCCTCGATTGTATAAGATTATCTTTAAAAGTAGAAATGTGGTCGTAATTAAATTATCATAGTTATTGTTGAGGCATTGCTCGCGTTAGGTAGGACGACAGATTGAGTTATTTTGAGGTTAGACATATAGGTTCGAGTAAGAAAGTTACGTCAACTGAACGGGCTACTACTCTTCATCAACATAAAACCTGACTTCATAGATGAGGCATATTAATAAATTACTTAATTGTAATAACATAAAAAATGTGCCAATTTTAATAATTATGCAGAAGTTAGTTCTCGCGATGTTCATGTAGTATTTGCGATGCATTGCCATCAGTTGTAGCAATGGTGTAATAATGATAAAACATTAGAGTTGCCCCATGTAAAACATGGAACCTTTTACAAATGAATTTACTAAAACGAAATGGAGATGCTTGTCACATTTTTTACACAAGGTTTAGGAACGTGTTATCCAGTAAGCATTTGAACTCAAATCCACGTTCTAATTTCAAATGAACTGACAAAACTCAGTTATCTCAACACAGTGAAGTTTATATTCATCAGTCATGAGTAAACAAATCACCAACCTATTGCAAACGTTTCCAGATAACCGTTTATTCCTAGCTAGCACCAACTTTACGCATACAGATGTATCATTTACCCTGGTAGCTCCTAACACTGTCAGATCGAGATTAGTAACAATACTCTTTTCACTTCTGTCCAATTTGATCACATATTTATTTGGATTATATTTCACATGGGTAAAAATCTTAAAAACGTACTCTAAAATGAAAAGCAATGAGTGAAATTGTTGTAGTCTTTCTCTTATCTTGTAATATTTAAAGGGGAAAAAACGGGAAACGATTCGCCGTTTGCATGAAGAAAATGAAAAGCTGCTAGATGATCTCCCTTTATTATGTCGTGAGGTAGGTAAATTTTATCTTAATTTCAATTGTCAAAATGCTCATTTATTCGTTTACGTACTGAAAAATTATCATTATTATAAGCACCTACTTGATGATATATTGTAAAAGTTTGATTTGTTTCTTATCAAGCCTATTAAACCTGTAGAAATTCTCACTATTAAGTGCAGTAATTATCAGGAAATCTTAACACCTCAAGGAAGGCGGCACTTTCATTACACATATAAACCTTAATTATATGTCTACAAAGCAATACACCTTCAAACTCACAAAAAATCCACATAGTTGATGTGATGCGAAAATAAGTCATCTAACTATATGATGATATATATTTAGCTTTGATACCTTGATGATAACCTACTTTGGCCCAGCTTTGTTAAAAAAAAAACATATTTCTCAAATTTTTTGAAACGGTAAAAGTCGATTGACCCACGTAAAGTTGTCGAATGGGAACATATCTGTAATAACCTTAAAACTGGATCGAAAGCGAAACACACTATACGGAGGAATTCGGCAAACAACATTTCAGTGATGCTTAAGTTCCAAAAGTATTTTGAAAAGATTTAGCTGTGATTATCTACTCACTTAATATGACTATTGTTTTTGACGATTGACTATTTCAATTACCGCTCTCGTAAAAAAATATAATGGGTTTATGAATGATCTATTGCTTGAATTGATGTGTAGTGTAGCCAAGTGACAATTCGCGCAACTAGGATGCAATGTTCGTGGCTGTAAACTGAGTACAAGGATCTGTGCTTAAATTCGGAGTTCCTTCACGCGGTCAGGTACCATGTTATTGTTCACTTCTACTTCAACGATGTTTGTTTAAATAAATTTTTTTTCAATCCCGTCATATTCTTAACACTCATAAAATCTCTTTAAATTAGACGAAACAAATTAAGCAACAACTATCGGGTCAGATAATTGGTACACATAAAGTGGCGCATGAACTAACAAGCAACATTTTACTGCAGGATTTTAATGAAAGGATTCAAGATATTTCATTCGACAGAAGAATATTTACCAGGTAAATCTTTGTAGGGATAACGCATTCACAGATTCTTAATGCTGATATCTACATACTTCCCGCAAACATCGTGTTATTTTTCCATTCAATGTGAATAATTATCAGATTAGATACTTCAAAATATATTTATAACTTCTTTCTTGAGTAGTGTATCTATAATACAGCTATTTAATACAAGTCGATGATGCGTGAGCACATATCACGACAATTTAAAGTAGCCATAATAAGTCAAGATATTCAAACAACGGGTTTCTAAACTTATACGTATGCGAAGAACCAGCAACTTAATCAGACTGATAAACAGCGGATTTCATAATGATGAGTACATTGTCTTTGTTACCCAGTTAAAAGGCATGAAACTAAATGCTTGTGTTTATACTAGTTGTTTCCATAGGAACCTTGATATCTTGTTCGTGTTGCATATCTTGATGGTCCAACTAAATTATATTAGCTGGGACGTTTTTTATTGTAGATCCTACCATGCCAAACAGATTATGGAGCGGTGGCTTGATGGTTAGGATGTTCAGCTTTTCATTGCGATTTCTGTGATTTAAACTTCGCTCTACATACTTTGATATGGGCATCCGGGTAAGATTGTTAGCCTTCATGCATAGAATGTGGCTCATATCCAAGCACCTGATGAATGAGTTAGCCCAAATAATTATGCAGGTCGATTAAAAAACAGTAAGACAAAAAACAGCAACGTAATGTTCAGGGGCTGAGGTAGTGCTAAGAACTATACAGAAGCGTGATGGCAGTAAGGTGTTTCCTTAAACAACGCGATGATGTGACTAGGTTCGAACAACCGTCTATTCGTAGCAAACAACAGCACAAAGAAAAGAATCGTTCAACGGGTGGCCTGTTAATTCGACCTAATTGTGAACGCAAATACATCATATCTCTATCAGCCATACAGTCGATATGGTCCGGCAACTTAAATTGATATATATGCAAAGTTTTCTGCGAAAAACTTGATGCAGAACGTTAACAAGAATGAGACGAGTAAAACGGTGTACAACTTTTAAATTTGATAATCAGCTATAGATTCGAAGATAAACATAAAAGTAAATAAAACCAAGCTATCATTGTTTTGAACTTCAGTTACATGTATTTTCATTTATTGTATTTACATAGGATTAAATTAAAACAGACCTTGCAGTGGCAAAACAATACCAAGTGAAGTGGCTAACTCAGTTTTTAACAACCTATTTGAGCCTTGTGTTTTTCATTAGCAAGGTGTTGCTAGCTTGTATTCTAAAGTGTGGCATGGTGGAAATGTGGACAAAATTACTAGTTTTCTAACGAATATTTGAATTACCTAGTCACAATTAGATGACCGTCATGGAATACTACTGTATGATTATAATCATAAAGTCATCAGTGTATACTTAGGTGGATTGTAAACGAATAATGAACGCTTTTAAAAACGAACACATTGATATGAAATGTTGAAGAAACGGATAGTAAATAAAGTTATTTCCGCTCAGTATAAATAACATGTCTGAGTCATTGAAGATTATATGTATAACATGATTTATTGGAATCCAGTAATGTCAAAAGATCATTGACATTGAAATGAATCTCGCTTTCCGGATATCAGCCAGTTGTAGATATGCTTTTGTTAACCATGTAGATACTACAATTGTCTTGACTAAGAGACAAGTCGGTAGCACTTACAAACTTGCACTGCCACATGACTACAACATATTATTGTAGGATTAACCCCACTATCACCAATGCCTATTAATTGTTTACAGAATTTATCTTCCGTTTTACTTTTTTTCCTGCAGTGGGAATACTTACTTCGACACTCTACATGCCGACAGTCTATACATAAATTGCTGTAATTTATATTCTCTTGATCCTAATCTTAAGGTAAGATCAAGTAATTCTTGATTACAACTACTAGAAATATCATATTTCTACAAACTAATTTGTAAGTCTTTTATTATATTGCTTTCCCGGGTTCCCCAAATTACTTTTTGTCTATTCACGTCTCTACGTATATTTAACCAACAATGCTTTTGAGATCTTAATGTTTTCTTTGAGCTAGATGATTTCATTAAGAAGCTTTAAATGTTTTCTGGACCATATATTAAGCGCATACTTAAAAATCAAACCATATATCTAGGAGGAACCATTCCAACAACAAAAATGCACCTGAACTGAGATTTTAAGAGCTTTAACAGTCAAGATACGATCCACGCTATATTATAAATCATCGGATTTTATACACTTGGATAAAAATGTTGCCTACCAAGATGTTTATATTATTGGTGATTGCGATAAAACTCCATTGGCAGCTACTCCCGATCTCAACCCCAAGGAAAGCTTAGCACACCCACTCCGTATCGGAAAAACGTCAACCAGAAAAATAAGTTAAATAAATCAAGATCTTTCCTAGTAGTCTAACGGTCTTCACATGGCAGAGTTGGCTTTTCATGGCGAAAGCCAGGACGGTCATTCAAAGTAAGAAGATACAACCTAGCCGTGCTTGAAATAAGTAAAACCCGCTGGACACAAAAGACCAGCTTTAGGAGAGGCGTTGTATTCTTGTCATGAAGGTGAAAATGCTCACCACATACTAAAAGCTGCGATGACGCTCTCCGAAGAAGCACGGAAACACTCAAAGAACGTAAAACCCATAAGTCCAGAACCATCAAAGCATCTCTTAAAGAAAAGAATTTAAAATAATGTCATCCAATGCTACCCACCCTCAAATGATAACAGTAAATATGTTAGACGCTAACCCAGAGAAATGCCCACGGAAACATCTAACGACTCTGACTGGGGGACCTAAATGTCAAGATCAGGATTGACAAAATCGGGTATGGACGCAGATAAATGAATAAACATAATGCAAGACTAGTAAGCTGTGTTTTCAAAAACATGGTTGTGAGTGGTAGCATTTTCTCCCACATGTGCAGTAATAAAGTTACATGGGTTCCACCGAACCACGCTACGTAGAGCCACATCGACCACGTTTAGATCAATAAAAAATTTAGGTCCATTGAAGACGTTACATCAAATAGAAGAAGTGATATAGCTTCAGATCACTGCCTGGTAAAGACCAAGCTAAAACTAAAGTACTGAATGATTCGGCGAGCGCGAATACAATGGTTTAATAGTTTTTCTTCGAGATACTAACGGGTTAAATGAGTTTAAGATAGTTAAGAGCAACAACGTACCAAATCTACTGTAAGAAGAGACCATTATTGCAAGCAACCAAGAAGAAATTAAGAAAGTAATAACTCCAACAGCACTTAAGTCAGATTCGGAAGCAAGATGTTCTGTTTCTCACCAATATATGGAAAAAATAATCTTAGTGCATGTGGGACCTACATAGAGATTACGCTGATGTTAGTACCAGGTAATATTCTCAAGTTCCTAAGTCGGATGAAAAATCCATTCGGTCGATTCGGGAGCCTGACAATCCTTGTTGAACAAACAATTGGATGGAACTCATCACTTATGTATAAGTGATTGATTATGAAACAGCATTCGACATCTTGCATAGGAAAACCTTGTGGGATTATCTACGACACTATGGAATACCTGAGAAGATCGTTATCGACATACAGAATTATTAAGATAGACTGTAATGCAGATACATTCCTAATAAAGCCTAACGTTTGATGGGTGCATATTGACGTGTTTTCTCTTCTGTTTGTTGACTAGATGGACTATAATGGACACAGCTAGATAATTCGTACATTAAAGATGAGTTAACCTTCCTATTTGTATATGCAACAACTAATGCACACGAATACAGCCACTATAGCAGTGGTTTCAGCAGAAATACGCGGCAGTGTTTACAAACGAAAAGCGAAATTCAGAAGTATAAGGCAGACACCACCAACCAAACCACACTTGATGGGGAAGTTGTGAAACAGGTGCAAGTTTTAATGTATTTGGGCAGCATCATTAGTAATCAAGGAGGATCCGATCCAAATGTGAAGTAACAAGCTAAGGAGTAGAAAGCCTGAGTCGATAAGTAATCAGAACAGAGAACTTGTGAATTCTTTCGCGCCTTCAATCTGCCTGAGGTAATTTATGAGCAGGAACACGGAACAAGACAATTGGGAGTTCCAAAAGTGTTGATTCATGTAAGGGTAATGGAAAATGACTCAGTTTCGCAATATGGTTTTTGCTTCAGAAGTCAGAGACTCGTGATTCAATATAATTTTGCGTGCAAAAAAATAATTCGTGAAAATACTTTTTCAGGCTTTTTAAATGACACAAGTAGACTATTATAAATAATAAATGTATTCTGAAGATTAATATTTTCTGTTTGTATTACAGATTCCAGATGTCCTGCTGAAATGTATTCTAACACAAATCAAAGAAAGCTGGCTAGCTGAGAATAATTTAAAATTGTTACACTATCTTTTGATGAATTTAAACAAAGAAATCCTCAATAATGAAGAACTGCGAAGTAAGATGTCTGTCTCTTTGTAATGCAACAATTATCATTACAAATTTGAAAGGATGATTTCTTCTATATGTAAATATAGTAATTTTCATTTCAGGATTATTTACAAAATTTCAAAAAGTCGCAATGCTTCAGGGGTGTCACAATTCTTACTGAGATTTTAAATCGTTATCAATTGCAAATAACCGTGTTTACTTCACACTTTTCTTCCAGTAGTTTTGGTCAATATGAAATAATAAAGTATTCAAGTGTTTATTGACACTAAGTAATATTCAGTCGAAATTATCAATAACTGACTTATTTTTTTAAATCAATCATTTGAACAAAAATTTACACCTTTTTTTCAGACTACGACGCGACATTTAAGGCTAAAAAGCTAAAACATTTACTTCCTTGTGTTACAAATTTGAAAAAATTAACGAAGGAAATAAAACAGCGCATATCAGTATGCAATGAATCACTGTCTGACTGGTAAGTGACAAAATAAGATCTTTATTTTTTCATACTTACAGGAGAGAAATACCGATTCATCAAATGTTGCTATAAACAAGTTCCCTATTGCAGTTTTGTTGATAGAATGTGATTGTAACGTATAAACGTTTTTCGATGTAAATATAATATTGTTTTCTGTGTTACCTTTAGTGACGATATACAGCACACATCAACAATACCTAAATATTTAGATGAACTCGTTGTCATAGTTCCAGACAAATCACCATATAGTGAACACACTTTGATTAAAATAATGACTGGATGTATCCTACCTGCAGTTCAATATAATTTCGACTTATACTTACTAACGCCTGTTATCCCTCATTGAGGAACATAGAACACTCATCAGCATTCTTCATTCAACTCGGTCCTAGGTAATCCTACCCAGTTGTTTCCAGTTGCTATTCATCCTCCCCATGTCTGCTCCCAATTCTCGACGTAGTTTGTTCTTTGGCTATCTTCTTTTCCGTTTTCCTTCGGGATTCCAAGTAAGCACTTGACTCATGATGCAGTTTGGTGATTTCCTCAATGCGTGTCCTATCCTCTCCTAGTGTCCCTTCCTTATTTCCTCTTCAGTTAGAAGCTGGTTTTGTCTCTCCTACAGTAGGTTGTTGTTGATGGTATCTGACCAACGGACATTCAGTACCTTGTGTAGACAATTGTGCATAGGTACTTGTACTTTTTTGATAATGGTTGCAGCAGTTCTCCAAGTTTCATCAACGTACAATAGAACTATCCCGGCATTCGTATTGAAGATTCTGACTTTGATATTAATTGAAAGTTTTAAGTTCCGATCGGTTCAACTAAATTTCAGTCTGAACATAATTCCTGTCACAATCAGTAGTTTCTTGTAAAAAAAGCGGTGACCTGGGTGCACTGAAAATTATCAACTATAAAATTTATAATTAGTGGGATCATGGGATTGTCGTAAATTAGGATGCTCACGAGAATGAGAGTATCTATAATATTCAGATGGCTATTTCACATAATCCAAATAAGTTGGCTTCGCAAAACGATTCTAAGGTTCAATGATATAGCCAATTAAAACCTATCACTTTATAAAGATTTTGGTTCATACTCATAAAAGTGAACTTCAAGAGGGCCCATACTGTCAGTTCGTTGACATATATGGGTCAATAAGTAGGTCGCGAATAACATGTCGGAATGATATCTTACAGTAAGTGAGAAAGCACAATTCGTCTAAGCCTCACTGTCACAGAACCCTATGCGAATTATTAAACAGGCCAACTAGATTTTCAGCTTCGTTGTTCAAAATAGATATATGGGACATGACTGGAGTAATAAGGAAAAAAATTGTTACTAAATTCGAGAATTTACAGTATTTGTTGAGAGTAAACTATACACTGGACGTTTAGATAATTGCGCTTCGGTTGGTCAAATAGACGAAGTGATCAAATTTTAAACCCTTGTGTGCTTAGTCCCCCACCTAACTTGATCATCGCACTTTTTAATATGCACCCACCAACCTGATCCGAAGAAGAGTATTTGTGGGTGCTAATGACATTATAGTCGACGTATAAAGTGTCTCTTTGTCGATATTCCTGCATAAAAGACAGTTTTCTAAGCACAGAAACAATGGATACAGTTTTTAAACATTAGAATCATGTATGATTTCGATAGTTCGATTACTTAACATTGTTTAAATTGGTATGTGTATGTTTTCCACGAGAATGCAGACGTCCACGTATAATTTCTAAATGTTGTAGTAAATAGTTTTGAGGTTTTGGTTCCATGGCTATAGCCTCTAAAAGGCATGATTCCGATTTTTCTAGATCATCTTCATCTGCCAAAGCAACACAAAGGTTATGTTTTGCCTGAATGTTCTTTGGGTCCAATTTCAGCGCTTCTTCAAAATACTAAGTAGGGAAAAGGTAAGTATATGTTGACATATGTTCAAGATGAAGTAGCATTAACGAATTCATAGATTTACAGTTAAAGCTTACTTGCTTTGCTAGTTTTATGTTCGCTTTTTCAGTTAATTCTATATCTCCGAGAAGTAAATAAGACTTTATATGTGAAGGATGAACCTGTAAAGGAAAGTTACACACGTCAGAGTAGTAACAAGTTTGTATAACAAAGTACATGAAACATTGCTCTTTAGATATGATCACACAGTTAACCAAAATGAACAATGACAAAAGAGGTTTGTCAGTTTTCATCTTTCGCTTAATTCGATTGATGTGGTTTGAGCATTTAACTTTCATCTGTAGTACAAAACACTAAATAATTTTTCAGCCATTTAACAAGCAGAATAACAAAAATTGATTAAAATTAAACTAGTTGGGACTAAAATATTTATTAAATCACTCCAATAATTCACGTTGACTGAATTAATAAAATAGTAATCTCTGTCAATGGTTTTCGGTGCATAAAACTAATAAATATAAATCTAAATTTACCTTGATAAGATGAAGTGCGAGATTCCTTGCATCATCTGGTTTTCCAAGATGATTTCGATAAAGTAGAGCTAGGTTAAATAATGAACCTTTATGATCCGAATCCAGCTTAAAAACAACAAAATAAAAAATATCATGTAAACAAATATCCGGATGAGAAACACGTATGTAATCTAAAACGGACAAAATGTTATAATCATTATGATTACAAATCAGTAGATTAATGATTGAAGAAACGAGTAGACATAATGCGGCTTGCACTTAGGTAGTATGTAGCACGAACTAGAATGCTTACCAGAAAGAGTGAAATAAGAAGAGGAAAGGAAACAGAGAAATAAGAATGAGGAAAACACGATCGCAAGAATGATGAAGTATGTAAATGGTAACTGAGGGGAGATATACAAACGATGTATTTAATACAAATTTTACAATGCCACTGTGATTTGGCATAAAAAAAATAAATTGGTTTCTCCCATCAAGCCTTCGTTCACTACAATAAAATAGACGGGTTAAGTGTTTTTGGAACAACTCAAACAATAATTACTTCTTTGCAAATGCTACTGACATTATCATCAGCATAGGTCAACCAGCACCAGTTCAGTTTTGTATGTTGTTGTACATAATCCGTAAAGTGGTATCTGCATCTAGTCATATGCAGTCTCTTATAATTTTAAGACCTGCTGAAGTGTCTAATTTCAAATAAAAGTTACACGAATATTTTGTATGAAAATGAGTACGAGTCGCTAGCAAAATTATAACCATCTTGGTTTTCGACGATATAATTCATGTTATGTTAACAGCATATATGACACAATGCTTGAAACTAGAACAGTGACAAAGAAATAGGATTAATCAAAGTACATTTGGGATAAAAAGTCTTCTTTAGAAAGGCGTATACCTGAACCCTACACGGAAACAGTGAACTTAATAAGAGATGGTATATCCGCATATAGAATCTAATTACATTGCATGCATCATTGGGTGGCGTTGGCACTACTTTTGAAGATCAGAACACTCATTATAAACTAATGACATGATGAAAAAAAATTCAAAACGGGCTACAGTACAATAATTCAACTATAACGAATGATGTAGTAAGAGGTCGGTAGATGCACATGAAGAGCTAAGGTGGTAGTCTAACCTTGATTGGTCCACGATTCGATTGGAACTAAACTCCACAACGCTTTACTGACAAGTAACGTGGTCACTGGGGAAATTCCAGGAGTTCTAGTGAGAAGCCATGACCAGTGTAGTTCAATTGTATCTGGTGTGAGGCAGTTCCCCGACGTAGACGATAAAAGATGGTCGAGCAATATATTGTGGACTGATTGAAGTTAGTCACTGAAACCGTTAGATTCCCGCTCAGTGGTTTAGATGTCAAGTGTTTGCGCACAGGATCGAAGGTCCTTGGTCCGACTCCTACGTGCAGAGTTGTATTTAGAGCAGAGCTGAAGAGTCCCATGCTAGGACGAAGCCATTATCCAGTGCTTCCAGGCTTTCAATGATGGTCTAACATTGATCGTTTTATGATTTCAATAAGATGGTTAATATTGTAGTATCGGGATATATGCTAAGTGCATAAGATTTTTTCCTTTAGAAAGTAAAATTCTGTGTCTCTTAAATTGCTCTGAAGTAATAATCACACCTGTTTAAATAAATCACTTACAAGAATAACGTTTTGATAATGTTTAGATGCTTTGATATAGTTCTTTTTATCAGTTTGTAACATACCCAAAGCGAAATGTACTTTGATAAGTTCAAAATTTTGTTTGAGAAGATGTTCATAGCTATAAATAAAAAACAGCAGTAAATACAAACTCGATAAGTTTTTGGACAATACGGCTTATTTAAAATTAAATAGTACAGAGACTTATAGAGTGTTAAAATAGTGAAAAATTTCTTTAGTGATCAGTAAGTGAACCTGATAATCTGCTGCTCATCTCAAATTTTAGTACATGGTCTATCAAACCCAAAACAGTATGACTTTCAGGGTGTTCATCGGTTTTCGCATTTGAATTAATTAAATTCAGATATCTATGTGTTTAAAGATAAATCAACATCAGTGAGAAATCCCTAACAATCTGATTCTTTTTTATTTCTTAAGAGGAGGAAAATGATTTCTGTAAAAGAATCAAATTATCAAAAATTTGTTTAACTTGCATGTTTATTGCTCTTAGCTGGTCATCAGGATTAGCTGATTCACCAAGAGTTGATGCAACAGCAAACAGGGAAGGCTGAATATGATAAAAGAAATCGATAAAGTCAGTGAGAACTCACTTTAATAGTTATTAATGTTAATTTTTTCTCTAAAAAAAAGTTATTGTAGTGAAATATTTACATGTTCACGTGGCTTTCCTAACTTTACATTGAAAAAATTCACTATTGATTATGTTCTATTAACTTATCGGATCATATGTTTTCTTCTAGTGGATTTACAGTTTCGCGTCCGAGCTTTAGCATGTATCTGTGCGTTTAAGACAAAATATTGACAAAAAGTGGAGATATTTATGGATTTATTACTTCCATTTTTGTAAATTGCATATTCAATGAAAAAACAACCCTGTGACCAATTTGATTAGTAGGTAATTAGTAAGAAGTACACGGAGTATCTTTAAGGGTTTCTATAATAATGAACTT